TCTATTACTTTGTAACTGAGGCACTTCTATGACTTTGTAACTGAGGCACTTCTATAACTTTGTAACTGAGGAACTTCCATGACTTTTTAACTGAGTCACTTCTATGACTTTGTAGCTGAGGCACTTCCATGACTTTTTAACTGAGGTGCTCCCATCACTTTTTGACTGAGGCACTTCTATGACTTTGTAACTGAGGCACTTCTATGACTTTTAAACTGAGGCACTTCCATGACTTTGTAACTGAGGCACTTCTATGACTTTTTAACTGAGGCACTTCCATGACTTTTTTTATTACTTTGTAAAGCATAATTATCCTGAAAAAAAATCATTTTCATCCAAAGAAAAGTGTCAAAATAATCTCTCAAGACATGATTCAGTTACTTTTGGAAAATGTGTAAGAAAATAATATGTTTAAAAGACACTAAAAGACTTTGTGTACCTCAGGGCCTCAGCAAGTCTAAGTTCGGCCCTGCTTCAAGAGTATAGTTAGTATCCATTATTATTTTCTTAAAGTATTAAAAGATTTATTTTCTATCAGCTAGTAGGTCACGTGACACATATAAAGCTATTCAGAATCAGACAAATAAATATATAGGAAAATCAAATCTGTAAACCACGACTTGAACTACAACCGCACACACTATGAGGATGAGATTGTTGTGCTGTATGTATTTTACCATGTGTACCTAGTGCTGTTGCATTTATTTTACCATGTGTAGCTGGTGCTGTTGCATTTATTTTACCATGTGTAGCTGGTGCCGTTGCATTTATTTTACCATGTGTACCTGGTGCTGTTGCATTTATTTTACCATGTGTACCTGGTGCTGTTGCATTTATTTTACCATGTGTACCTGGCGCTGTTGCATTTATTTTACCATGTGTACCTGGTGCTGTTGCATTTATTTTACCATGTGTACCTGGTGCTGTTGCATTTATTTTACCATGTGTACCTGGTGCTGTTGCATTTATTTTACCATGTGTAGCTGGTGCTGTTGCATTTATTTTACCATGTGTACCTGGTGCTGTTGCATTTATTTTACCATGTGTAGCTGGTGCTGTTGCATTTATTTTACCATCTGTACCTGGTGCTGTTGCATTTATTTTACCATGTGTACCTGGTGCTGTTGCATTTATTTTACCATGTGTAGCTGGTGCTGTTGCATTTATTTTACCATGTGTACCTGGTGCTGTTGTATTTATTTTACCATGTGTACCTGGTGCTGTTGCATTTATTTTACCATGTGTACCTGGTGCTGTTGTATTTATTTTACCATGTGTACCTAGTGCTGTTGCATTTATTTTACCATGTGTAGCTGTTGCTGTTGCATTTATTTTACCATGTGTACCTGGTGCTGTTGCATTTATTTTACCATGTGTACCTGGTGCTGTTGCATTTATTATACCATGTATACCTGGTGCTATTGCATTTATTTTACCATGTGTACATGGTGCTGTTGTATTTATTTTACCATGTGTACCTGGTGCCTTTTCATTTATTTTACCATGTGTAGCTGGTGCTGTTGCATTTATTTTACCATGTGCAGCTGGTGCTGTTGCATTTATTTTACCATGTGTACCTGGTGCTGTTGTATTTATTTTACCATGTGTACCTGGTGCTGTTGCATTTATTTTACCATGTGTACCTGGTGCTGTTGCATTTATTTTACCATGTGTAGCTGGTGCTGTTGCATTTATTTTACCATGTGTACCTGGTGCTGTTGTATTTACCATGTTTAATGCAAACCGTATTTCTCCCCCTTGCCTCCATAGTGTGACGTTTCGTCTCCCCCCTCCCCCTTCCCCCCTCCCCCTTTCCGCCCCCCCCATCCCCGTGGCCAAACGCCAGGGCATGACCTCGAGTCATTGATCCAGTGTTTACTAAAGATGACGTAGGTGAAACAAAGCTCCATTAATCTCCCTACGACATCCAGTTTACGCAACAGGAGCCAGGGACTAAATAATCCGCGGAGATCAACAAGTGTGGCTGTACGACTTCCGGGGGGGGGGGGGGGCGGGGTAAATGCGCAACGTCAGAGGCCTGGTTACCTTGTGTGGCCACACCCCGACGAACGTTTATTTCTCCCAACTTTGCTATGTCTACATGGCTGTTTGATCTGTCTGCCTTCGGTAATTACCTGCATGTTTAAGTTTATTATTTTTTTAAATTAATATTTTTTCTTTGACCCCCGCGAATGGCACATTGCATGTTTCCTAGAATGCTTAAAATAGCTCTCTTAAAAAAATAAGCAAGGCTTGTTTATAAAGATCCGGCTCAGGTGATTTAGTTGTTTTTTTTTATTCGCCTAGATAGGTTGTTATATAGACTTTTTAACCGTCAGAATACTTCAAAACCATCAAAGAAATGTAAAAGTGATTAGCACTCGGTGCGGTTAGGGGAGTGAGTACAGGTCAAAGTGAACCAGTCTCGATATTATTAATTAGCCTGCTCTAACGATCTATATAACATTATCTATTGCAGGTATGAATTTTGAAAAAAAAAAAAAACATGTGTTTGGGGAATGGGGGGGGGGGGGGGGGGCTGGAAGTTTAAAGGTACACCAAGAAATATAAAAATACAGACGAATTCAACAATTTAATTAAGTTATCCCATTTTAAAAAAAAGTTATATTTCTAAATGAAATCACTTACTTGAGAATTATGTCATCCATCTCTGTGACGCTACAGCCCATGGGGGGCATTGGCCTGATTGGTCATTTCATTCCACTCACACGAAAACGCATGTTTTTCTTCTCCATGTCTGATTGGCAAGCTGCCGTGGGTCTGTTACTTCACCAACAATCCTAATTATTGTGATCTTGCAATGTAATTGAAAGATTTATAATACTATGCCGACGACTTGTGTGGATGCATAATCAAATTCGTCATACCCATAAATACGGTATCTGTCGATAAGGGACGATAGTTAATGAACTAAAGATAACTATAATAAGACATCGCCAACTAATCGATTATAATATAATTGACATTCCAACTCTATCATGACATGCCTGCCATCTTACTTTCAGTAGCAGCAAACTAAAAACATAAACGTTGAATAAAGCAGAAAACATCTTTAGGAAATACTTTTTTTTTGTGGGTGAAAAAAAAAATAGATTGTTAAAAAGAACCACTGAATACTATTATGTTTCTGATCTGTATAGAAACTTTTGCACACACTTCTCAATGAGACACGCATACTCCTATGTGTTCACACACCCTCTTTTCATAAAGTATTAATAGCCAAAGTGAAACCTAACCTAGGTTTTGATAGGTTACACTTGGAATGTGTCTAAACAAGAATTTGGATTTATTTTGATAAAAATCTCTCCTTGTAACTTAGATGAGGCAAGGATAAAAGAAAGTGATACTCTTATCAGTGCCTCTCTTATTTTTAGAAGGGGGGGGGGGTGATTGCACAGACGTACCACGTGCTGCCTCGAGTATAGCATTTCTGGATACCTCTGAAATATAGCCCTTACTACCACAATGTGCCTACATTTTTGCGCCTTCTCGGAAGTACTTCTGCTCGTGTTGACGTACGTACCCTGAATGTCCAGCGTTATAACTGTACCCAAGGAAGGAGGCTGGGACCCCCTCAACGATCAAGTGTAAAACATGTCTTCTTACCCTAACCCGGCCCCTATACTGTCCTTTGAGTAGGTTTCTCATCCTAGTATTTATCCTTCCTTCAATGCTCCCCAGTGGTTGACCCAGAAGTTGGATACTCATGAATGTATCCGATTGATCAGTCATCATGTGGAACATGGCAGAATATCGTGGCGGCCAGCTCGGGTTGACCATGTATGTCCCTAGGATCGTGAATACCATCGCACAGACAGAGCTGACCAAGGACGTGACCATCATCTGTCTAGTAATAAAAGGGCCTAAAGCTACAATAAAAAAATGCAGTGCCAGGAGACAGTAGGTGGCGGAGAATAGGCAAATAGTGCATCCTGCCTAGTCGACATGACAGAGGGATGACATGAATGAGGGATGAACAAACTCTGAAAACTTCCGTCTGGTAAACGTGGACTCTCAAGCACTTGATAGCTAAGTGCTATTTCTTATTTTTATAACGTTTTTTCTGTTGTTTTGTTCGCTGACGAAGGCTTTCTGTCGACACGTTCGCTGTTTTGTTGCGTTTAATTTTTCAGGTTTAACCATACTCTGTTTTACTCATTTTATTACGTGGTATTGAGAGTTTCCCACTATCGGATGAGCGGGGTTGTCTGGTGGGTATATAAGTCATCATGAGCGCTTCGAGATAGGACGGTGCTAGGACATGCAAGCAGCGGTAGCACAGAGTTGCAATTTTTTACACTATGCGAGTGCGGGCCGGCAGCCAATAAAACTCTCTCAGAAGTGTTTTAGCACGGTCGAATTTGCGTTTGCGAAGAACAATGCGAGCCGCATTATTCTGTGCTCTTTGAACTTTATCCAGGAGTTTAGCTGGGAGACCCACCATGACAGCATTGCAGTAGTCCATGCGTGATAGCACGATTGCAAACATCAGTCTATTTGTTGCATCAAACGTTAAGAAAGGTCTGATATGACTAACTCTGCGCAGCTCTAGAAAAATTGCCCCACAACGCATTTTAATGTGATTTTCCATAGTTAATGTTCTGTCTAACTAGGCACCCAGGTTTCACACTGTTTGAGGAAACTCAATCTGTATATCTGAGAGAGTAAGGGATTGTGTGTTATTTACAGATTTTAGCTTTTGAGCGGTAGCAATGGGGATCAGCTCGGTCTTTTTATTATTGCTGGTAATCTGGTGTATATTAATTTAGTTCCATTATAAAAATAGTATTTTTTTATCAGATCCGTGGATCAATTAAAAACTTGATTAATTTCTTTTATACTGGAATTACGCACTCATATAATCAACATGTTGCAAAAAGGCGTTCAACAGCTTGAATTATATGGCGTAAACCTATTCGCATTGAACACGCTTTACGTCATCACTTTCTTCGTACTACTCTCAAAATATAGAGCTGTGCTCTACAGCACGCCTCTCCATATTGTTGGAATAACACAATTCACAATTTACACCAGCAAATTTCCATCTCTGCTGGACATTGACACTTTCTTTAGGTAGTGTCAGACCCCGGGAGCGCCCCACTCCTGGCGGAACCATCACTATGTCCGCCGTCGATGCGCGGCAGGACGATTCAGTGTCCGAAGAGTCGGCGATGTCCACATCGCTCAAGTCGGATTTCAGTTCACAGGTAGACTAATCATAATTGTAGACAATCCAATAAATATTGGTCTGGATCCAATTTGAAAAAAAACAACAAATTAATTGAATATGAATGAGATGTTATTATTGGTAACAAGCATGTGTTTCCTTTAATGTTTCGGTATCTAAAGAAACAGTTAGTTGAAAAAAAAAAACAACTCATGGGATCAATATAGCTGACATGCCAAAAAAAAAACTTTGGTTATAGATTAAATATTATTCATGAAGTTACGTTGTCTCAGATGTTGCATTCGTGATCTCTTGCACTTGAAATACAAAAATAGCGTCTAAATTAAAGCTCCACTACAGGAAATGGCTTGACGCATAATCAAATGTTCACATTTTTTTTTCTGGCTTTGAGTGACTTCGTACTATCAAGCCTTAGATATTCGAATAATTGAATACTAATAAAGTGACTCTATCTCTCCTAATTCCTTACAAAGCATTGTCAAAATGCGTTTAGGTGTTGATTTTAGAAATTGAAATCATTCAGTTGTATCAGCTTGTTTTTTTTTGCACTTAAAATTTACTGAACCCTTTCTACATGTACGCGCAACATGAATTTGATTAGCTTGCACGAATTTTGTAAAAATAATACAAAAATTGCAAGAATAACGCCAATTCTTAATGTGATTTGCCTCGCCATAATGCCATATGTATATTAATTACCCCTCATGAGGATTAACGCATGTTTCAAGACAGCTGCCCAATTATAAGACCACGGCCTTATTCGTCCACGCTATTCCATATTTATCTCCTGGCTGATTTCATCTTTAATTAAACTTTGCACCCCCCCCCCTTGCACCGCAGACATCCGTTTAACTTTTTATTAATAAGACAATCTCTTTGAAAGACACTAACGTCTGGCTTGTAACAATGGACATGAGGTAACTATCCAAGCCGTGTTAAAATTAAACTATGACATTAGGTAACTATCCCCGCCATTTTAAAATTGAACTATGATATTAGGTAACTATCCCAGCCGTGTTCAAATTCAAATATGACATGAGTTAACTATCTCAGCCGTGTTAAAATTCAACTATGACATTAGCTAACTATCCCAGCCGTGTTAAAATTCAACTATGACATTAGCTAACCATCCCAGCCGTGTTAAAATTAAACTATGGCATTAGGTAACTATCCCCGCCATTTTAAAATTGAACTATGATATTAGGTAACTATCCCAGCCGTGTTCAAATTCAAATATGACATGAGTTAACTATCTCAGCCGTGTTAAAATTCAACTATGACATTAGCTAACTATCCCAGCCGTGTTAAAATTCAACTATGACATTAGCTAACCATCCCAGCCGTGTTAAAATTAAACTATGGCATTAGGTAACTATTTCTTGATTGTCCAGGCATGTAACATCCTCGCCGAGCTGCGTGAACAGGGAGAGCTCTGTGATGCTGTCATCAGGGTTGGTGATGTCGTCTTCCCCATTCACCGCAACATCCTCTCTGCGTGCAGCAGCTTCTTCAGGGCACTTTTCACCAGCCAGGTAGGTGAGGTACGTATCATGCGTGGTCAGACATTACATTGGTTAGGTCCATCTGTGTTTCTATCGCTGATAAAAAGCATTACGGCTGTAGAGATCTATAAACATGTAAAATATATCACGTTGTTAAGGTATGTACTTATAGAATACAATGTTTTCGAGGACTTTATATATTTTGAAAATAATCAATAGTGCATAATGTTAGTAACAAATCCAGGAGATATCGTATGTCATTAAAAATCTATTTCTCTATGTATCGATCTAAGTAATATCCTATGAAGAGTTATACATGAATCATTTAGAAGAATTATGCACAATATAGTATTTATTATATTTGTAGGTTATATGTCTTAACAGGTCTGGTATATATCATGCCTTTAAATTCATAAATAAATTTAACGAATGGTAAGTGGTTTAAATTATAAAAGATGACATATCACTAGTCTCCCTTGCTGCTGTAATGGGAGATAAACAAATTTATGAAGTCCGGTAAAAAAAATGTGCAATACTAAAAACAAAAGTGTTGACAAATTCTTAACGACCATAAAATGTAAATCTAGTAGAGAACATCGGTTTAAAGCTATGACAACTGCTAGTAAAGAAATCCCATTGTGTCATTGTAGAATCCAACCAATCAGCACGAAATAACATTAACCCACGTGAACAGTGACATCATGTCCGTCATAATAGACTACGCCTACACCAGACACGCCAAGGTCACAGCTGCAAATGTCGAACAACTGCTTCCAGCAGCTGACCAGTTTCACTTCATGGGCTTAGTTAAGGTAATGTAGAGCACAGAAATATGGGCTTGGTTAAGGTAATGTAGAGCACAGAAATATGGGCTTGGTTAAGGTAATGTAGAGCACACACATATGGGCTTAGTTAAGGTTATGTAGAGCACAGACATATGGGCTTAGTTAAGGTAATGTAGAGCACAGACATATGGGCTTAGTTAAGGTTATGTAGAGCACAGACATATGGGCTTGGTTAAGGTAATGTAGAGCACAGACATATGGGCTTGGTTAAGGTAATGTAGAGCACAGACATATGGGCTTGGTTAAGGTAATGTAGAGCACAGACATATGGGCTTAGTTAAGGTTATGTAGAGCACAGACATATGGGCTTGGTTAAGGTAATGTAGAGCATACACATATGGGCTTGGTTAAGGTAATGTAGAGCATACACATATGGGCTTAGTTAAGGTTATGTAGAGCACAGACAAAGGGTCGTGGTTAAGGTAATGTAGAGAACATATATATTGGCTTGGGTAAGGTAATGTAAAACACATAAATATGGACTTGGTTACGGTTATCTAAAACACAGACATAGGGGCTTGGTTAAGGTAATGTAGAGCACACATATATAGGCTTGGTTACGGTTAAGTAGAGCACAGACAAAGGGCCTTGGTTAAGGTAATGTAATACACAGGTATATGGGCTTGTTTAAGGTAATGTAAATCACAGACATATGGGATTAGTTAAGGTAATGTAGAATACAGGATGTGGGCATAATTAAGGTAATGTAAAACATATAATACGGGCTAGGTTGAGGTAATGTTGAGCTCAGGATGTGAACTCGGTTAAGGTAATGTATAATCAGAAATATAGGTTAAGATAAAGATAAAGTAGAAATAGTATTAAAATGTAATTTATGAAAACCCTTCAAGCCTTACAACACACTCAAATAATTTATGCATGTAATATAAATGAACCGAAAGTTGAAGAAAACTGTAAAAGGAGGGATCTCTGGGTCGCAGCTTTGGGGGGCATCGGAAAGGTAAGTTAGTATAAAAATGAAGGTGGCCTTTTTAAGATGTGCTGTTTCTGTATTATGACCAGGTGGACAACCCATTATCACTTCGTCCTTATTCAAACCATAGGTTTGGCAAGTTTTTTAAATTTTATAAATGCCACGTAAAAACAAAGAAAAAAATTGAACAAGGTAAGGTATTTGGACGTTTGAATTAAGAAACATGAAAATGAGACAAAAACGTAAAAATAAGAAATGTAAAAGATTTGGGCGATTGGGATAACAAAAAACAAAAAAGAATAACAGATCGCCTCCAAATCAACGAATTTGCTCCAATTTCTGAAACAATAGCATTAGTTGTCAATAGTTTGTTACTACCTGTCTGAGCGTATTCATAAATTTATATGAGTATTGTCAATGTCAGTAATTTGTTTAACTGCCAAGTAACGTCTTCTCCAGGATTGTTGCGACTTTTTAATAACAGAGCTATGCGCAGACAACTGTATCGGAATTCGGAAATTTGCCCAAACCTACTTTTGTACTCACCTAGAGCAGCAGGCCCTGAAGTATATCCTTGTTAACTTTACGTCAGTCTACACTACAAGTAATGAATTCCTTCAGCTGGATATTGATGAGGTGAGCCGATGTTCTTATTGGCCCTAATTATATATCCTTTGTATTTATGAAAGGAACTTTAAGATTCTGAACATGACTTAGATTTAAATATTATCAGTACATATTAAAACGGTTCTTATTTCTTTTATTTTTGATATCTCGGTGTTACATATTTGCTAATCTACAGAAAGTTATTTTGAGTGTACCCATTTTTAAGGGAATAAATAATCAAATTCAATCAGGACAGGAAGTCCTAGGAAATATACAAGTGCAATGCAATAATGGCTTGCAATATTCCATACCCTTAGGGGTTTGGGTTACCATTTTGAGTGCACTTGTGTATTCTAATCACATGCTGAATGTGACGACTGAGTTACGTGGTCACTTCATTCTAAATATACAATGTTTGCTATGTGGCAGGTGTGCGATATACTACAGTCAGAGCATCTGAATGTAAGGACTGAGGAGCTAGTATTTGATGCCCTCTGTAGATGGATTGACTACAGCCCCGACAGGAGGAAAAGGAATATTGCCCGCTTGCTTCGTACTATCCGATTAGGTCTTCTAACGACCAGTTTTTTTGTTGAAAAAGTAAGGCTATTATATTCATATTTTACAAAATCTATTGATTCAAATAACACAAAAAATCTTTTAACGAAAAAGACACAATTTTATATGAAGACAATCAATTCTGGAGATATAATTTTGTATGACAATAAATTCTGAAGAAATAGGTTTGTATGTAAATAAATCTTGGAAAAATAGGTTTGTATGACATCATTTCTGGATATGTAGGTTTGAATGACAATGATATAGATTTGTATGATAAACAAAACAATACGGATTTAAGAACAAACAGTTTTACGAGTGTCCCCTCAAGAACTCTTGATAAATGACTCTTTCAACCCTGCGGCTTACTTAGTGACCAACTTGCTTCGATGTAAAAATGTCAAGCTATTTCAGACTATCTCCCAAGTTTTAATGCTGACCTGTCATGCTCAGTGGGCTGGGGACCTGTAGTTTACATTGATCCATTATGAGATATTTTAACGGGACACCTTGACATACCAACCCTAAAAGTTCACATTCTTGCGTCATTTTCCTACATCCAACCATAGTTTATCTTCAAATCAGCCATGGCACTGTGGTGCGTCCATCTTCGGAAAAATTATGTGCAGGTTGTGTCTTGGTGAAATCCGGAGGAGCACAAACAATCCGCGTCATCGCTCCAACCTTTTCACATCCCAAACACTGTCCTTGGACCACCTGGATCTCCGGATCCAGGCGTTCCACACGGCCCAAAATGCGTTTCGTCCCGCCTACACAATGTCTGGAACACATCTATCAAAAACGTTTTACAGCTTCGTCCAGTTCCTCAGCACCTATAACAAGCGCCATCGCTTTTCTACAACACAGATACGTCAGTAATGACGGTAATATATTTTAAAAAACAGAATGGGCCATGAAGTAGCAAACAAAGAAAATGGCGATTATAAAATGAATTTTTAATTCATCGCAACATTAACGCATTGGCATCACATTCCTGCTTTAAAAAATCCGTACACCATAGCGGTGTAGTTCTAGAATAGAATTTTCTATCATCAGGACCATTTCATTAAAAAAAATAAAAAAAATATCCCAGATATAAATCAACTCTGATAAAAGTACTGACACGAGCTACGGTGTTTGTTGGATGTTCGGAAACAACAATTTTGTATCTATTTATGAAACGGGGAGCGTTGGATTTGAATGCTAGTTATTCCCACAGGTCAAGCCTCATGAGTACGTGCGAGACAGTGAGCAGTGCCGTCCGATTATAATTGAGACTTTAAGGTTTCTGTATGAGCTGGATATGGACGATCGGAGGGAGGTGGACATGAGCAACCCCATAGCACGTCCCAGAATACCTCACGAGGTAAGTCAGTCGTCACGATGCTTTCAAGCTACAGTTGTAACTCAAGAGGTAAGAAGGTAGTAGAAATGATACTGTCAAGTTAACAGTTGTAATTATTTACAAACATTTATACTTTATGTCTGCGGAAACCAATCTACAAAATAAAATGCTTGTTTATTTACGATCAAGATACTGTTTAATATAACTGTGTTGAGAGGAAAGCTTTTATGTTAGAAAGAAATTAGTATTTTGAGGAAATTTGAATTTTCTTGAAATTAAAAAGAAACAAAATTAAAAAATAGAGATCACAATGTTATATTTCCATTCAATGGCGCTTTCTGGTTGTACGATTGGGAGAGTGTCTTAACATAAATTTGTTTACCTTACGTGCACAACTACACATGCAATCATAACAAATGGGTAATACACGAATCAATAATTAATATTGTATAGATACTTCATCCAGTCATGGAAGCCATAATAACAAAGCACCCCCCCCCAAAAAAAAAAACCACCCCCCCCCCGCCGTTTCTGAAGGTGATGTTTGTAATCGGTGGCTGGAGTGGAGGAGCTCCGACCAACATGGTGGAGACATACGACACACGGGCTGACCGTTGGGTTGTATGTCCAGTGGCAGACACAGGTGAGATGTTGTTAAGGTGATCGGGTGTTTTTGTGATCTATCTTATGATTAAAGGTTTTGAAACGAATTTTTCATTCATGCGTTGGGAGAGATGATGGTGGGTGGGTGGGCGGAGCTGTCTAAACTGAGTTAAGCCCAAGCTCGTGGATCAGCGCTCAATCCCCAGCAAACGCCTGGACGTCACCAACCCCCCCCCCCCCCCAAAAAAAAAAAAAAAAAAAAACCCAGGTGGATGGGAGTCGCTAACCTCGGATGACGACCCATCTATGAGAAGACAAGCTCCGTGGGGCGGTATGACATTGTCGCAATGAAAGTTCAGATGACACATTCGACGTGGAAAATGTCAACAGCATAAAATACACAAGACACTGCTGGTCGTCTTACTGCATCCTGGTCTATTTCTAGTCGTACTGACTCTATTTTGGATCAAATAGACAAGGACGAGAGCGTAAGGCTGACGAATTGATGACCCTCATTCCCTTTATATTTGTGTCATTGTCATTTGAATGATATTTTAAGTAACAAAACCATGTTAAGATAAATTAACGGGGAAAAAAACCCTTATATCAAGACATAAACATATTTTTTTTAAAAATACAACAACTTTATTTCATTCCCCACGATTGCGCAAATGAACCCGTCAACAAATGATCTAACTTATTCTCCCACACGGCTTTTCGCGTGTTGCTCCTGGTTCACAGGGCCCAGGGCCTATCATGGTATGATCACAATGGGCCACATCATCTACGTCATCGGTGGCTTTGATGGTGTGGAGTATTTCAACAGCTGCCGAACATTTGACCCTATCAATAAGATGTGGGCTGAAGCGCCTCCAATGAATTGTAAGAGGTAAGCTCCTAAAATTGAAGTTTGGAAAGAGAGGTAAAACTGAAGTTTGGAAAGAGAGGTAAAACTGAAGTTTGGAAAAAGAGGTAAAACTGAAGTTTGGAAGAGAGGTAAAACTGAAGTTTGGAAAGAGAAGTAAAACTGAAGTATGGAAAGAGAAGTAAAACTGAAGTTTGGAAAGAGAGGTAAAACTGAAGTTTGGAAAGAGAGGTAAAACTGAAGTTTGGAAAGAGAGGTAAAACTGAAGTTTGGAAAGAGAAGTAAAACTGAAGTTTGGAAAGAGAGGTAAAACTGAAGTTTGGAAAGAGAGGTAAAACTGAAGTTTGGAAAGAGAAGTAAAACTGAAGTTTGGAAAGAGAAGTAAAACTGAAGTTTGGAAAGAGAAGTAAAACTGAAGTTTTGAAAGAGAAGTAAAACTGAAGTTTGGAAAGAGAAGTAAAACTTATTTTGGAAAGAGAAGCAAAACTGAAGTTTTGAAAGAGAGGTAAAACTGAAATTTGGAAAGAGAAGTAAAACTGAAGTTTGGAAAGAGAAGTAAACTTACGTTTGGAAAGAGAAGTGAAACTGAAGTTTTGAAAGAGAAGTAAAACTGAAGTTTGGAAAGAGAAGTAAAACTGAAGTTTGGAAAGAGAAGTAAAACTGAAGTTTTGAAAGAGAAGTAAAACTGAAGTTTGGAAAGAGAAGTAAAACTTATTTTGGAAAGAGAAGCAAAACTGAAGTTTTGAAAGAGAGGTAAAACTGAAATTTGGAAAGAGTAGTAAAACTGAAGTTTGGAAAGAGAAGTAAACTTACGTTTGGAAAGAGAAGTGAAACTGAAGTTTTGAAAAAGAAGTAAAACTGAAGTTTGGAAAGAGAAGTAAAACTGACGTTTGGAAAGAGAAGTAAAACTGAAGTTTGGAAAGAGAAGTAAAACTGAAGTTTGGAAAGAGAAGTAAAACTAAAGTTTGGAAAGAGAAGTAAAACAGAAATTTTGAAAGAGAAGCAGGGACAAATTGGAAATAGAAATTTGAAAAATGTAAGTCGAAACTTTGCTTATCTTTAAAAAAAAAACAACACGCTTTTGTGTGTTGACGTCAATTCATAGATATGTAGACATAAAATGTAAAAACCAGTTAGTAAAACATAAATGTATTGAGATACGCCCATTAAATGTCAATCCATGTGACAGATGCAGTCAGTGTGGTGAAATCTTCTGTGAGTTACGAAGTTTTTGAACGGTTAGACTGTAGTATAAAATCCAACACAATTTTTGTTTCATTTAAAAAAAAAAAAGTTTCAAATTATTTTTCCATTCATGGCCTCGCCTGTCCCCCAGTTGCCGATACAATGTTAAATGTGTTAAGTGAGCCAGGTTCTTCCTTAACTATAGTTTGTCACTTATCGTTAAGCAGAAACCTGTGTGATTGTCAATGTTTTACGACACGTGATGGACATTAGATAGATGCACACGGATTCGTGTACCCAAAAATACAGAGCGGCTAACCAAAATTATTTCATGAAATAATAAAAGAGAGATTATAATGTGGTTAAACAAAAGAGAGATTATAATGTGGTTAAACAAAAGAGAGATTATAATGTGGTTAAACAAAAGAGAGATTATAATGTGGTTAAACAAAAGAGAGATTATAATGTGGTTAAACAAAAGAGAGATTATAATGTGATTAAATAAAAGAGAGATTATAACGTGAATAAACAAAAGAGAGATTATAATGTGGTTAAACAAAAGAGAGATTATAATGTGGTTAAACAAAAGAGAGATTATAATGTGTTTAAACAAAAGAAAGATTATAATGGGTTTAAACAAAGTAGAGATTATAATGGGTTTAAACAAAAGAGAGATTATAATGTGGTTAAACAAAAGAGAGATTATAACGTGAATAAACAAAAGAGAGATTATAATGTGGTTAAACAAAAGAGAGATTATAATGTGGTTAAACAAAAGAGAGATTATAATGTGGTTAAACAAAAGAGAGATTATAATGTGGTTAAACAAAAGAGAGATTATAATGTGATTAAATAAAAGAGAGATTATAACGTGAATAAACAAAAGAGAGATTATAATGTGTTTAAACAAAAGAAAGATTATAATGGGTTTAAACAAAGTAGAGATTATAATGGGTTTAAACAAAAGAGAGATTATAATGGGTTTAAACAAAAGAAAGATTATAATGGGTTTAAACAAAGTAGAGATTATAATGGGTTTAAACAAAAGAGAGATTTTAATGTGTTTAAACAACAGAGAGATTATAATGTGTTTAAATAAAGAGAGATTATAAAGTGTTTAAACAACAGAGAGATTATAATGTGTTTAACTATTTTGATTGCAATCCGCAGCCGTTTTAACCTTTATTGTGTCGAACAATTTAGTCTTCCTGAATATGTCAAGGCTGTTTTGAAATCAACGTCTATATCCGACTATGGATCAAATCATGTCTTATCATGTTATACAATTCTTGTTTTCCATAATTCGTCTTTTTTTTTTTTGCGGTTTATCACGCCTTCCCCACCATCTCTAAAATATAATTCATCGATTCCTCAATGGTTCTAAATTATAAATTTCTGCCTCCCCATTAGTCCTAGATATTAAAATGCAGCCTTTCTCAATAGTTCTAATATTTGAAGTATTGTTTCCCTCAGTGCTTCTCATATCTCAATTCCTGCCCCGTCAATAGGATTAAAATTTAAACTCCTACCACCTTCAGTGATTTTAATATCTTTAATTATTTCTTACTCAGTGGTTCTAAAATCTTAGTCCTGCCTTCAACGAAATGGTCGTGTCGTTTAACCTCGATTGTCTGAATGTGTTTTTGTTAAGCTCTATTGTACAATTTCTGTTATCTTCCTTTGAGTGTGAACTTAGAATGCTAGCTCTACTGTACCAATTCTGTAGACTCCCTTTAAGTGTCTGCTTAGAATGCTAGCTCTACTGTACCATTTCTGTAGACTCCTTTTGAGTGTGTTCTTAGTATGCTAGCTCTACCGTACCATTTCTGTGGCCCCCCTTTGAGTGTGCACTTAGTATGCTAGCTCTACCGTACCACTTCTGTAGCCTCCCTTTGAGTGTGCACTTAGTATGCTAGCTCTACCTTACCATTTCTGTAGCCTCCCTTTGAGTGTGCACTTAGTATGCCAGCTCTACCGTGCCATTTCTGTAGCCTCCCTTTGAGTGTGTACTTAGTATGCTAGCTCTACCGTACCACTTCTGTAGCCTCCCTTTGAGTGCGCACTTAGTATGCTAGCTCTACCGTACCATTTCTCTAACCTCCCTTTGAGTGTGCACTTAGTATGCTAGCTCTACCGTGCCATTTCTGTAGCCTCCCTTTGAGTGTGTACTTAGTATGCTAGCTCTACCGTACCATTTCTGTAGCCTCCCTTTGAGTGTGCACTTAGTATGCTAGCTCTACCGTACCACTTCTGTAGCCTCCCTTTGAGTGTGCACTTAGTATGCTAGCTCTACCGTACCGCTTCTGTAGCCTCCCTTTGAGTGTGCACTTAGTATGCTAGCTCTACCGTGCCATTTCTTTAGCCTACCTTTGAGTGTGTACTTAGTATGCTAGCTCTACCGTGCCATTTCTTTAGCCTACCTTTGAGTGTGTACTTAGTATGCTAGCTCTACCGAGCCATTTCTTTAGCCTACCTTTGAGTGTGTACTTAGTATGCTAGCTCTACTTCTGTGACAGTAAGACTTTTGAACAGGAACGTTAATTGGCTTATTCAGAGCCTTGCGTCCGTCAGGTGTTACGTGAGTGTGGCCCTACTGGACGGCCACATCTACGCCATGGGCGGATTTGACGGCCACGTGCGGCAGAACTCGGTGGAGAGATTCACAAGGGAGACCAACCAATGGAGCTTGATAAGACCTATGCACCACCAGCGCAGCGATGCCTCCGCTACAACTTTGAACGGTACGTCCAGCTCTTGCAATTTAAAAGCACGAAGATTCCTACTCAACAAGCCTACGCTACAAATGAAAAAAATTATAAAACGTATTTCCTGGAATTTTCGTAGACAGAGTTTAAGTTAGGTGTGATGTTTTGTACAGATACGTTTATTATGAGTTGACATAAATGGTCAATGTCAACCAAATTCATAGAATTAAATGCTCTTTAATAATTTTAAAATGACGCTAAAATAAAATTTATAAAAAATGACTCAAATCTTAATTTAAAAGTACCGCGAAAATTAGTGAGTGTGCACAATGATTCTATAAAGCAAGCCAGCACCAACATACGGCCCACGGGTCGCATACGGCCCGCCATTATCCACTTTGCAGCCCGCGAGGTAACGAAATATTCTTTATTCTTATAATTTTATTAATAGTTCTCAACCCAGTCCGATTTTCTTTAGGCCCGCACACGTTTTTCATAAAGTATTACGGCCTGCCTTACATTTTGAGTTGTGCAGGCTTTCTGTAAAACATTACACATGCAAAATATTTGCCCAAATCTCATATAGAAGACATGTATAACATGTCCCTATCTCCTATAGATGGCACTTTTAACATGTGCCATCTACTTTACAGGGAACGAGTAACATATCCTAATCTCATATACAAGCCATGTGTAACATGTCCCCAATCTCCTATAGAAACTATATGTAACATGCCCGCATCTCCTTTACAAGCCATGTGTAACATGTCCCCAATCTCCTATAGAAACTATATGTAACATGCCCGCATCTCCTTTACAAAGCATGTGTAACGTGTACTTGATATCGACCAGGAAAGGTGTACATATGCGGCGGCTTCAACGGCCAGGAGTGTTTGAACTCGGCTGAGTACTACTGTCCTGACACGGGCCAGTGGACACTCATCACCAGCATGAATAACAGAAGAAGTGGCGTCGGGGTCATCGCATACAACGACTGCATCTACGCACTCGGTGGATTCAATGGCGTGACCCGAATGAACACCGGAGAGAGGTTCTGCCCCAGAACCCGCCAATGGGTGGACATTCCAGAGATGTACAGCCCACGGAGCAACTTTGCCACGGAGGTAATCAAGTTATTATCTTAAATAATAATAACATAAACAGATCTGGCGCCACGATTCATGCACTATTTTAAAATGAATCTGGCACTGATCTCTACGGAAGTAAGTACGGCGGGGGCATCGTACCCCGAACTCAGTTTGCCCCAAGAAGAAGTTCATGGTATACAAAGTTTGTGTTATAAAACGCGATTGGTCATACTCTTCTATAAAACAAAAAGACAATCGTTATTTCAATGAAAAAAAATATTAAACACGTAAATGAGGTAAAATAGTTTTTTTTTTTTTTTAAATCGTTCGAAACCCCGGTTAGAGATATGAAAGGTTTGCTGCATTGGGTGTAGTCAAGTAAACAGTAATTCTTGTGATACGTCTCTTGGTCTACTCTATATATAATCTGTGGTCACTGCCAATAAAATAATAATAATAGGGCTAAAATCCAAAGGAAAAATGGTAAGCTGACTGTTTAAAAGTTAATCCCGATCCAATTTGGATGATAAACAGTGATAAACAGCTCCCAATAAGCTCGGTGTCTTAAAAAAGTATGCAAGACGTTTTAAGCTTACCGATGGTCAAAGTGAGTCACTTAGCGACATTGAAAAAAAAAAAAAAGGGCGTGCTGGTGGGTGGGAGAGGTTCACTGCCTCTTGTAATTTGTATGAGAGTCACTTAAGACAAATAAAACTGCTACAAAAGTTGTTAAGACATTTTTCGAGGTGCGCAGAATGTGTGCGAAAACGTGTTAGAAATATTTTAACTTTCGGTCTGTTTTCAGTTTCGGCCGCAGTAAAAAAAAACAAACAACAACTTTCGGTCAGTCTCTACGTCAAACAGACGTAGAATCTTATAAAGGCTGGAATAAAACTAGTCTTTCCATTATCAAGAGTTGATATATTATCAAGCATGTGTACAACCCACACAAATGGCCTGGCAAGCCTGTGTACAACATACACAAATGGCCTGGCAAGCCTGTGTACAACCCACACAAATGACCTGGCAAGCCTGTGTACAACACACACAAATGGCCTGGCAAGCCTGTGTACAACCCACACAAATGGCCTGGCAAGCCTGTGTACAACCCACACAAATGTTGGTCTGGCAAGCCTGTGTACAACCCACACACATGTTGGTCTGGCAAGCCTGTGTACAACACACACAAATGACCTGGCAAGCCTGTGTACAACACACACAGATGACTTGGCAAGCCTGTGTACAACACACACAAATGGCCTGGCAAGCCTGTGTACAACACACACACATGTTGGTCTGGCAAGCCTGTGTACAACACATACAAATGTTGGCCTGGCAAGCCTGTGTACAACCCACACAAATGTTGGTCTGGCAAGCCTGTGTACAACCCACACAAATGTTGGTCTGGCAAGCCTGTGTAGAACCCACACACATGTTGTGCTGGTAAGCCTGTGTAAAACCCACACAAATGTTGGTCTGGCAAGCCTGAGTACAACCCACACAAATGTTGGTCTGGCAAGCCTGTGTATAACCAACACAAATGTTGGTCTGGCAAGCCTGTGTACAACCCACACAAATGTTTGGTCTGGCAAGCCTGTGTACAACCCACACAAATGTTGGTCTGGCAAGCCTGTGTACAACCCACACAAATGTTTGGTCTGGCAAACCTGTGTATAACCCACACAAATGTTGGTCTGGAAAGCCTGTGTACAACCCACACAAATGTTTGGTCTGGCAAGCCTGTTTACAACCCACACAAATGTTGTTCTTGCAAGACTGTGTACAACCCACACAAATGTTTGCTCTCAGCAAGGCATGGCCATTGTCGGAATGTATTGTATAGGCCACCCCTGCTGGATACCACATGCCACAGCCGTTAGGAAATCCCCCTTTTGTGTCCATCTCATGTGGTTTATTGACGGCTTCTTTAGTCGATGTTTGCTGTCAGCTTTTTGTCTTTTTGTATCGGGTGACGTCACGCTTTTAGTATTAAAAAAAAAAATTTAAAAAAAACAAAAAACAAAAAACAACCATTTTGCGTGACGTACTGCTTTGTATCTTTGGAGGATTTCATTTTAAAAAATACAAACAGTTGATCTTAGTATTGGAGCATTTCTTGATGACGTTAATGTAGAAATAAACATGGATTCACATCCTATTGAATATGTTTGAGAGGTGAATCAAAAAAGTGTGAAATCGCAAATTATACGGGGCCTGCAATGGAATAGGTTGCAATATCAACAATTTCTCATCTTGATGTGTTGGTGTAAAATAGTAAAATAAAATATATAAATTAAATTTGTGCTCGTCTTCAGATGCTCCTTATTAATTTTTTCATTCATATTAGCTCCAATCCAAGGTAAATAATCTAATACATATTATGACGGAAGTGGGAAGAAAAAAATCACTGTACTTTTCAAGATATGTATTTATTTATTTTATACGGGCACGTCGCTCCTAGCTTAAAGTTGGTTCTGATAAGCTTTTAATGAGAACACTAGCCACTTTAGAGCAAGAGAGTTCATAGAGTGCGTTTTAAGCTCTCCGTTACTCTCATTTGGTAAAACGAAAGTAATCGGTGTATGCAGTGGCGCACTGGTGCATCCCAGTGGTCCGGGACAAAAATGTGTAGAGATGTAATGCGCAAGTTTTCTTAATGAAAGAATGTAGAAGCGGATCAGGCGGCCCAAATCTCACTAGCAGTGTCGGCCCAAATATCACCGGCACTGTCGGCACAGATATCACTGGCACTGTCGGCCCAAATATCACTAGCACTGTCGGCCCAAATATCACTGGCACTGGTGGCCCAAATATCACTAGCACTGTCGGCCCAAATATCACTGGCACTTGTGGCCCAAATATCACTGGCACTGTCGGCCCAAATATCACGGGCACTGTCGGCCAAAATATCACTGGCACTAGTCGCCCAAATATCACTGGCATTGTCGGCCCAAATATCACTGGCACTGGTGGCCCAAATATCACTGGCACTGTCGGCCCAAATATCAAGGGCACTGTGGCCCAACCACACCAGGATTTTTTCCCGCTGTCCGTGGGTCCACCCCAGCCCAGCCCTAACCATTTGTACCTAATGAATACAACAAGTTATTTCCATACTAAACGTTTGGAAAAGATCGAACAAACTGAGACTGTTCTTTTCAACTGTGATGCTAAGCAGACGTTTTTAAAGAGGAAAAACCATTTACATGTACATTTGACTTGTTTCTTGGTGATTTGTTCATTTGAGTTCCTTGGAGTTCCGAAGGCTGTCTGTATTTTATTTTTCAAAGTCATTTTTGGTAGCTACCACTATAACCAGTTTAGATCAAAATATCATTGAGGCTCCCAGCGGGTTGTCATGGTATCAAGGACATGGGCCGTGAGCCGAGGAACTACGGCGCCCGGGGCACACTTTACAATACGATTTTGGTGCCCCTTTGTTAATTACGTGACATTTCATCGTTCAATTCACCATAACCTCCCCATTTAAAGATGATTTTGGTACCCGTGACTAATTCCACCTTCGCTTCCCCCCTTACATTCATTTTGGCACGGCCCTGTTACAAACAACTCATTTAAGGTTCACCCTAGTGCGACTGTTTCGTAATGGCATTTACTCTTTATTTTTGGAAGTGGCACTTGGCTGCGAACTGACCCGAGTAAGCTTGCGATATATTTGTTTGAGTTCAAATTGTTCCTACACAATCTCACAATGGTGATACAGTACGACCTCAGGGTCACCGTGCATTACAGCTTGAATAACTATGAAGATGACATGTTTGCATCAAACGTAATGCATTTTAAGTAACGGACCCAAGTTTGATATTACATTTTTCATATTACGAAAATGTAATCAAATCATCAGGCATAAACTGATTTTAAGGAGAATTTATTTAAATGTACTAAATTGAAGAATATATCGTCCTTTAAATATCGTTAAAGTGAGTGCATCGGTTGAAATCTTTCTTCTTTAATGGAAACTGAGTGCATCGGTTGAAATCTTCCTTCTTTAATGGTAACTGAGAGCATCGGTTGAAATCTTTCTTCTTTAATGGTAACTGAGTGCATCGGTTGAAATCTTCCTTCTTTAATTTCAATTCCCATGTGTTAAGATTTAAAGACTTTTTGTGTGCTCAAAACGAAGCGTGATTTGTATAAAAAAGTCTGATTCTCACGATGATCAGGTGAGCACGTGCGTACATTTCAATTAAGCAAATAAACGTCAAACCATTAAACGTGTCAATGTATAAATAGCAAATATTGACACATGTCAGCATGTCAATAAGTAATGACATGTGTCTAGGAACCAACCCTATGTCACTACAACATGCACCTGCACTTAAAGCATTATATGTTTTGAACAGTTGAAGTACAAAAAGTGACAAACAGCTTTGTATCCATACACACATTGATTTATACAATGTTAGGTCTAAATATAAACCTCAAACTATCGCAACGGGAGGTTCCTCCCTTTCGCACCTCTGCAGGGTGTGTGTTTGTGCGAGGAGGAGGAGGAGAGAGAGAGAGAGAGAGGAGGAGAAGAGAGAGAGAGAGAGAGGAGAGAGTGAGGAGGGAGAGAGAGAGAGGAGGGAGAGAGATCGAGAGATCGCTGGATTGCAACAATAACTATTCAGAGAAGGTCATTCGCGGACGATACACAACTTCATCAATCTGTGATCCCCTCTCAGTTCCCTCAACTTCTCAGTACGACACAGGAGACAGTGGACTCAGTTAAGCACTGGATGACCATAAACAAGCTCAAAATGAATGATGAAAAGACTGAGCTGATCCCCATTGCCACTGCTCAGAAACGAAAATCTGTAAAACACACAACATCACTTACCCTCTCAGGTATGCAGATTGAGTTTGCTCATACAGTGTGAGATCTGGGTGTCTATTTAGACAGAACACTAACTATGGAACATCCCATTAACATGCTTTGCAAGGCAATTTTCCTAGAGCTGCGCAGGATTAGTCATATCAGACCTTTCTTAACGTTAGATGCATCAGAGAGGCTGATGTCTGCATTTGTGCTATCACGCATGGACTACTGCAATGCTCTCATGGTGGGTCTCCCAGCTACGCTCCTGGATAAAATTCAAAGAGCACAGAATAGTGCGGCTCGCATTGTTCTTCGCAAACGCAAATTTGACCATGCTCAAACACTTCTGAGGCAGCTGCACTGGCTGCCGGTCCGCGCTCGCATAGAGTACAAAATTGCAACTTTGTGCTACCGCTGCTTACATGACCTGGCGCCATCTTATCTCAAAGCACCCATGACGCCCTATGTACCCACTAGACAGCTCCGCTCATCCGATAGTGGCAATTCAAATATCGCTACCGTGTGTTCGCCTTGAGACTTACGGAAAGCGCACTTTTGCATTTGCCGGCCCAACAATTTGGAACGCTCTTCCAGTCCCTCTCAGAAACAGCCAGACACTGGAGTCCTTTAAAATCTATTAAAAAACACATCTATTTCGCAAACACCTTCTGGGTTCTGGGGTGATGCTATCTACCATCTTTTTCAGTTAATGTATATTGGCTTGTGTTGCTTATGGTTGAAACGGGATGAAAGACTTTGACTGGGTATGCTCGTATGTAGTTTTATATTGTTGCGTCTGTTTTTAAATGTTGTAAATTTTATATTGTTTTTATTTCTCTTTTTAATATGGTTGACTTTGTACCGCGCTTCGAGCTTTTGGGGATGAAGCGTGTTTTTCAAATAAACTTTACTATTATTATTATTAGTTCAGACTGATGACGCATATTTGGCTGGTTTTCTGTTAAATGTTGATTCCATTGCAATTGAAAGTTACATTAAAATTGTATTACAAATAACATTAAGACATAAAATAAGGAGGTAAATTGTATAATTCCTTGGAGCTTTTAATATTGGATGGCTAAACTTAATTTATAGGAATGTGTTAAAGTTCTGTACGAATGATGTGAGCCGTTCTCCTTACAAGCACCACAAGATTGGCCCGCAGCTTGCTTTACAGAACTAGCCTCCCAAATGATCCATTGGTTGTCCTACAACCAGTCGTACCACTAGCCTCCCAAATGATCCATTGGTTGTCCTACAACCAGTCGTACCACTAGCCTCCCAAATGATCCATTGGTTGTCCTACAACCAGTCGTACCACTAGCCTCCCAAATGATCCGTTGGTTGTCCTACAACCAGTCGTACCACTAGCCGCCCAAATGATCCGTTGGTTGTCCTACAACCAGTCGTACCACTAGCCGCCCAAATGATCCGTTGGTTGTCCTACAACGAGTCGTACCACTAGCGTCACATATGATCCCTTGGTTGTCCTACAACGAGTCGTACCACTAGCGTCACATATGATCCCTTGGTTGTCCTACAACGAGTCGTACCACTAGCGTCACATATGATCCCTTGGTTGTCCTACAACCAGTCGTACCACTAGCGTCACATATGATCCCTTGGTTGTCCTACAACGAGTCGTACCACTAGCGTCACATATGATCCATTGGTTGTCCTACAACCAGTCGTACCACTAGCCTCAAATATGATCCATTGGTTGTCCTACAACCAGTCGTACCACTAGCCTCAAATATGATCCATTGGTTGTCCTACAACCAGTCGTAGCACTAGCATCATAGACACTATCTTATTGATATCACGTTCTGTTTGTTCGCACCTTTAGCCACACAGAGGTCAACAAACTGTCATAAAGTAACTGGGTGCATATCATTAAATCTTACTGATTCTGTTTTGAAGGTGGCATTCACTAACTGACATTAAGAAACAGTTAAATGTTTTTACGTTTTTTATTAGTATGTTTTTGTCTCGGTCCATCAGTGTAATGCTATAGAGTAAATTTTAAGTGTTACAGCACATAAACGTCTTTACAATCTTCATCACGGAGAGTCGAAATCAAGGAGTTACTCCAATAGCGTGAGACTCGTAACCAGGCGTTGACATTTCGTCTTCAGTCATCAGTCAAGCGTGATTCAATAACACGGGTTTTATATGAAAGAATGAATGTAAAGTTGATGTCTGCCTTGTAAGTCGTGTCGAATTATTTGCAGCAGACACGGTTGGAGCAGTCGAGTCGCCCCCCTTCAAACAAAAAGCTGGATTAAAAAAAGAAAAGCGTGATTTCATTAGTAATCGCAAACGAAGTCAAAAATCTTTGTGCCTTTAAAAGCAAGATCCCGGTTAGTGAAGTCTTGATGGTATGTGTAGATGCTCAGTGATGCGTCTACTCATTCCTACTTTGGGGACCGCTATTATTGAAGTGGCATCTGGTTTTCAATGAAGAGTGTTCTAAATTTAACATAAACTATAGATTGGAAAAAGGCGCGCACGCAAAATGCAATCGCTGCATATTTTGAATGGCAATAGCCCCCTCTCTTTTGCTTTGAGTCATTGAATGTAGTTTTGCCGTAATAATGGGTAGTAGGCCAGCGTTTGAAGAGATCGGAAAATTCAATAGAATTCACAGAGTTAAATACAAATGCATACTGAGTCTAAAAATGTACAAATGTTTGTGGAGTGCATTTCATGTTTCACTAAAATGAACGGCTACGTATCGAAGACATCTTATTTCTTTGGTCAGGATTCATCTTTAAAGCAGTGGATCAATTTTTTTAAATTCATCTTTTCGTCCATCATAATCCTTTTTTTATTTCTATTTGTTTATCTCCAACCTGGCCATCCACCCATCTGATAATCCATTCATAAGTCTAGCAATGCATACAGCGACTAATGAAGGCAAGGACAACAGTGCCAGGGCTGTGGCAACCATAAGCTGCGCTCAGGGAAAAACCTGATGTTAGCCGCCCTATCACCCTAAAAATCGAATTTTTGGGCATGAAAATGACGATTTTGGCCCCCTCTGAAGATGGTCACAAACTTATCAATTCATCTTTTAATTGACAAATGGATACAGTCGTCCAAGGATCTAATTGGTTATCCACTTTAACGTTACTTATAAAGATAATCATTAAAAATGTCGCACCCTCTCCCAAGTGGAAGGAAACGAATCAAAATAAAAAAAGCAAGGGAAATAAAACAGAATTAACAGCACAATAAATTTCTGAAGTAGCGTCCCCTGAATTAGCAAAATAATGTTTAAATCTTTTTATTTTTTTTTTAAAATACCATTGGATATATAGTAAAATAGCTCAACATAACACCATTTAAAAATCATTTATAGATGACATATATGTTTGTTTAGAAATCGAAAAAAGTTTTCTATCTGAATCTACTTCCAATTTTACCTGTGACTAAATCAACATTGTCTTCACACATCCCTGTCATCTGTTGTTTTTTTAATCAGCGTTTATCAATCATTTTAACGACGTTAATGTCATGTCAATCCTTTCATCGCTAAACTTGACTTAATCTCTAGATCATAGACGACATGTTGTTTGCCATAGGAGGTTTCAATGGAGTGACAACCATCTTCAATGTGGAGTGCTATGATTCAAACGCTGATGAATGGTAAGAGGGGCGGGGGGGGGTGTCATGAGAGGGAGGGAGGTCCAAGATGTTTCACGTGAGTTCTAATGGGGGGAGGGGGGCGTGATTGGTTTTTTTTTTGTTTGGTCTAATGGGGGTCGTTGATGATATCGACGTTTTAGTTGTAGGGTTCAGAGATTGTAATGTGGGTACAAGAAAGGAGGGGTGTGTGTGGGTGTGTCGCTACGGGTCACAGACAGTATCGTGGGTTCCATATTGGGGATCGATGTCGGTAATTTGGTATATGCTAATTTTGGTACACAGTTTTTGTTCATAGATGGTAATATGAAAACATGGTTTTGGTCGGAGGTGATAATATTTGTACAAGGTGTTTGGTCATATATGCTAATTTGGGTACTTTTTTTACGTGGTAGATGATAATGTGGTTAAAACGTTTTGGTCATTTATGCTAATTTTGGTACTTTTTTTTAGTCGTAGATGAAAATGTGGGTAAAAGTTTTTGGTCGTAAGTTGTAATGTACGTACGTACGTTTGGGTCATAAATTGCATTTCTGGTATTTGATTTTAGGTCTTAGCTATATTTGATCATGAGCTAAGGATGTATAAATTAGGTTAAGTTATGTACAGACCAAAACTCGTCATCCTTTCTTTGATTTATTCCCTGGGTCATTTGTTGAACAAAATATTTTTATTATCATTAAATTAAGTGCTAAAATATATTTCGTTTAATAATGCTTTTAAAAAAATGTAACTAAAATGAAATAGAATAAAATAACACAGCTTTGCTTTGCTTTCAGTACATTAAAAGCAAGCATTGGTTGAGGGTGTATCGGGTTGATCTATTTCATTTCCTTTAGGTATGACGCTACCGATATGAGTCTTTACCGAAGCGCCCTTAGCGCATGCGTCGTTAAAGGGCTTCCGAATGTTCAAGATTATATCTATCAGAACCGAGTCTTCCCCAATGCAGACAACTCTACTACAGTGGATCCGTCGCCTAACTCTGCTACCACCAACTCCGGGTAATAGCACGGTCCGGCTGGCAGCCTGTTCTTCAAATGCTCGTTCTGTGACTGCACTAGGCAGAGATAGATATGCGAGGATTTACTTAGTTCAAAGTGCGTATATCTTTAGATACTACTACTGATAATTAAATTGTTGGTAACGGGCGTCAGTGCTATTTGTTTGTATATGAAAGTCGACACACTTTTTGGTTTATTTAGATGTCAGTTCATTAATTTGATGGAAGTAGTATGACTACAACTGATTCATTCATTTGATGGAAGCATGACTACAACGTATTCATTCATTTGATGGAAGCATGACTACAGCTGAAGTGTTAAATCGTAAAAAGTTCTGGCACTTGAAGACCTGGGTAGACGTTCGCGAATTTGAAGGAATCTTAGATAGTAATAAGTTGTGTAAATCCATCTAAAATTCTCATTATCTTCTCAACATACTCATAGTATCCCAGTACCATGCAGAGTACCATAGACACATTACTGTTAGACCATTGCCCGGATCTGCTGCTTAGAGCCGCCACGAGACTCTGAGAGGACCCCTTTACCCTTCAACGCAATTAAATATATTATTTCGATTTAATGGCTGAGTTATCAAAATTTGGGCCTCCTAATATCCAAGGCCCCCTGTAGTCAAAAATGTTGCAGGGCCCAAGTGACGGCTATGCTGCTACTTGTCATACTATATATCAAGACAGTTAAAACTAGAAAAGATTCTTTGGATAAGTGTATCAGTCTTAAATTGTGTTATACATCTTCTATCTCTTAAACCCATATAGTAAGTACACATTGTCTCTCTAAGAAAATAGACTTTCCTAGCTAAAGTCGAGTGTCTCCAGTGATTTTCGAGTAATGCTAATGCCAAAAAGTTTGAAGAATTAATTTCCATCAATCAACTTAATCTTGGCTGAGGTCAAGTTAGGGGCCTGAAGTCAAGTTAGGGTGGGGGTGGGGCTAAGGTCACGGTAGGGGGCTGAGGTCAAGTTAGGGGGGCTGAGGTCAAGTTAGGGGGGCTGAGGTAAAGTTATGAGGCTGAGGTCAAGTTAGAGTCAAAAAGTTCATTGCATTCCATCATTTTGCAAGAACTTAGTGTGTTTTCTTGTTAGATGAGCATAATCTTCTCCGGTTGCACTCCTTACACTCTAAGTTGGTGCACTTATCTGCCAACCGATTTTTAAAATTATGATTGACTATTGCATCATTTGATATCTTTAGAATTGAGTGACATGGTTGCATGGTGTAGCTCTTTTACATCTATGATTACATCTTTTACATCTAAGGCTTTTAAAATTATTATGCTCTACTAATTTTAGGAAACTTATATAAGATCATTTTAACATTTCCGTAATGAGTAAAAGACTTACTCAGATACTGTTCCAAAAAGAAATTATACGTTGATAAACATTTGAATCTATTCCACAGTTATCTACCAAGAATTGCCTAGCCTTCATGTTTAGCATATCTGGATGATTGACATCGCCTAACATGAGCATGGATTGTGTCTAGGGAACTCTAATTTACTCAAGTCTTAAGGCTAATACTCCACCAGCAATGTAGTATACCGTGTTGGGGGTGATGCTGATGGGATCTCACCCAAAAAAAAAACCACGAAATGTAGCTAGCAAGGCAACCTCTTTACAATTACGGATGGCTGGTCTCATTGACATCTGATCTCCAATAAATCGCTTGTGAAAAAAAAACAACGTATTCCCGATATAACTACAACAAACCAAGAAACGTTTTAACTATACCGTCAAAGAAAGACAACCTTCAAAAAATCAAGAAGCAAGAATCAATGTGGCCCATTCTGCGTTGACTAAGGACACTTATTCTTAGGAGATGCTCAGGCCTCAATGTGTAACGTGGACAAGTAGGCTCCGGGGCCTCATGGAGCCATTGGCTATTACGAATGCAAACAAAAATTAAATCAAAGAATAAACGGAGAGGCAGCGTGTCTGAGAGTACATATTTCTTGTCTAGATGAATTCCAGTCTGTTGACGTCATCGTTTCGTTTGGGGCCGGGGGCTGGAATGGCGGGGGCTACCCACTAAATTATCAAATCGACATATTCTTTTTTTTTTCCCAAGCTCCTCACGCTTTAATCAGTTAAAAATATGTACGCCTAAATATAGAGATTTTAAAATTCCGTTTTTTACAAGAATCGAGATATTTTTTTGTAACCCTGCGCCCAAATGAAATGAATATTTTACAATGATTTAGGAAACATTCAATCACATGGTTTATATTAACCACCTCAATGGGTTACAAATTATTAACCACATCAATCAACGAATTCCCTAGACCAGAGTTTTTTCAACTTGTGCCGCTGAAGGTTCACGTACGTGTGTCGCTAAACTTCGATAACTATTTAATTGTTACAACAATTGTATTGGTATACATTTCTTCACAGTAAGGTGAGACATGTAATGAATCGATCGAAATGAATATTAAACAGTCAAATGATTGGCTTAAAACGTGTACGCCCCATGAAGATTTAACCAAAGAGGCGATACTATCTTAATCAATCTGGTAGGGTACTTTGCTGAATCCATGTACATGCATATGAGCAACGGTAAGGGAAGCGATGCTGCTATCCTAACGGCTCCTAGCGGATGCTAGGGCAGCCTTGAAGCTCTCGATGGATGTCGATTCCACGGCGGCATTGTCCAGGTAGTTCCAAGCGATTAGTGTGCTTGGGAAGAATGATTGTTTATATTGGACTTGTTACACCGAGGCAGGAGTGAAGCATTTACTATTGTTCCAGATGTAATTGCTTATGGGGTTGTTAGGGGTGAAGTTAGTGTTTAGTGAGCGTTTGGCTCTGATTAAGCGACCTGGCTCCTATGGGGGTGAGATAAGTGTTTGTGAGATGGCCGGTACTAGCCCCATGACCACTTTATACAAGAATATCAGGCGGAGCTTTTCTCGTCTTTCTTTGAGGGAGGTGATGTCAAATCTTCTTAAGAGGCCAGAGACGAAACCAGGAGTGGTGGATTTGTAGTCACGTGCGATGAAGGGCACTGCGTTACGTTGGATTCGCTGCATATTGTCCACGTCTTGCTTTAGGTAAGGGTCCCAGATGATCGTACCATATTCTACCAAATGCAAGATAGGCATTTCGTTTGCAGGAGGTTGGGCATCAGCGTAGATTTGTTCGAATGAAACCTAGTGTGGAGTTCGCTTTTTTTTTTAAAATTTTGTTTAGATCTCTATGGGGTGACCATTTTAGGGTATTCGAGAAGAGAATTCCAAGTTATGGTTAATTTGATACTGGTTGGAAAATTGTCTTGTTAAGGGAGTAAATATAGTTTGAAGTTGTTTTTTTCCTTGAGATGCTCATTGTGTAGTATTTGGTTTCGTTAAATTTCATGCTCCATTTGTCCGCCCAATTCATTAGGCACTTCAATCTGATTTGAGGTGGTTGGGGTCATCGTAGCCGTGTATCTCTCTGTAGACCAGACAGTCATCAGCCAACAGCCTCACTTGAGATATTGCAGTATCAGGGAGGTCATTTATGTTACAGAGAAAGAGAAGGGAGCCCAGCACTGTGGCTTGAGGAGCACCTGAGTCTACGGTCGCTTTGCCTGATCGGACGCAATTTACCACTACTTGCATGGTCTTGTGTAGAAGAAGACTGTGTGGAACAGTGTCGAAGGCCTTGGAGAAGTTGAGAATAGCCATGTTGACCTGGTTACCTTTGCCATTAGGAGGTAAAGAGGTGATAGGTGGTGATGATTAAGTTTATGTGGAGAAATTTAGCGGAAACCGTGGTTTGAATTGCGGGCCGCAGAATATTACTAATAATTTCGTTTTTATTTAGTCTAGTCATGGAAAACATCACCTTCACTCCGGGTGGATGTGACTCGTTAAACTTGGATGGCAACTCATTTAAGAGAAAGAAACTCTGAATTCAAAACCCGGAGATGGAGTTCTGAAGGCGGATAACATTGGTACAATGAAACATTCCGACAACTCTTGCGACGCCACTGGTGCCAAGCTGTATCATCCAGCGGCGTGGAGAGAGGCAATTCGCTGTTGTGAACCAATAGTCCTAGAAGAATAATCCCAGGCCTTGTGGATTTCGTCCGGCGAAGTCCACACCATCGTCACTTGTGACGGACGGATGCCAGCAATTTAGCATTTTGACATCGTGTATCCAATTATTTTTCTTCTTAAAATGTTTTGACTTGAGTTACATAAGTTCAAGACAAACACAATTATATAACACAGGCTTTATGAAAGAAGTAGTGGAAACACAAAGTCGGCATCTTAAACATAGTTTTATTACCTATAGAATTTTACAACATCAGCATCAATATAGCTCTTAATATCCTTGACCAAACAAAAAACGTAGTGCTATTGTGGGGATCTGGAAGAAATAGTGGTCACGTCTTGTTTTAATTTTGCCATTACAGGTGATGAAGTGCAAACTGGTCTATCAAAATCTGAGTATTATGCTGGAATCTTTCGCTCAAAGTCAGATTCAAAATAACAATTACGAAGAATACTAATAGAAATGTTTACACAAAAGCTGTAGATGATGCCCGACTTTCAGATCTTGGCACATATTGATCAAAGTGAAATTGATAGTCAAAGTAATTAGCATTTTTGACAGAGGAAAATAAAATTTCATTACAATCTCTGTTTTTGTGTCTGAACACAGGAACAATAAAAAGGTTTTAGTCATTTGATGTTCAGCGTCTCAACTCCTACACGAACACCCTTTTAGGTGAATTCTTCACAAAAGCAAAAGCATGGATCTCATTCCGTACCGAATGATGTTGTAATGTACCAACTGATCCTACACTGTAACAACTAATCGTGTACTGTACCAAATGATCTTACCCCATGCCATCGGATCTAAATCCTGTACCAACTAATCTTATACTGTACTAAATGATCTTACACTGTACCAACTAATCTTATACTGTACCAAATGATCTTACACTGTACCAACTAATCTTATACTGTACCAAATGATCTTACACTGTACCAACTAATCTTATACTGTACTAAATGATCTTACACTGTACCAACTAATCTTATACTGTACTAAATGATCTTACACTGTACCAACTAATCTTATACTGTACCAAATGATCTTACACTGTACCAACTAATCTTATACTTTACCAAATGATCTTATCCCTTGCCAACTTATTTAAACTATATCAACCTATACTACTGCATGCCAACAGAAATGCTACCGAACCCCTCCTCCCCCCCCTTTTCCCCAGGCCTTTGTGCGCAGCACCTATTATAAAAAAATCGGATTACTTTAAAACATATTTATCCCCAACAATAACTTGATGTGAGTGTAGGGTTAGAAAGATTCGTTAGATTTAGTAACATTAACCCCTTTATTCCAGTTTACACTTCAATGGAGGCTACTGAATCATCTTTCAGTGAACCCATTCCATTAGCGAGTTTGTGTTGTCCCCCGTCCCCCACCCACCTCATGATAGTCATAAGATCTTCACATGACTGGTCAGCTTGGGGATCTTGGCATTGAAAACGCATGGACACAACAGAGGCACAGGTGTTCCTCGAAAACTGCAAAGATACTCCACTCTAGTTGTCAGATTAAATGTCAAAAAAAAGAGGAAGTTTCTAGTATTCCAAAACAAACCAATGAACGTTGCCAGCAAACGTCTTCTTCAGCAGACTAAGCGTACAGCCCGGCATCTCTCAAGTCATTTCAAATGCAACTATGTATCCCAAAAGTAAAAATATGAGGAAATGTTAGGCGCATGTTCTAATATTTTATTTACTTTATTATTATTATTATTATTTATTATTATTATTATTATTAATATTATTATTATTAATATTATTATTAACAATATTATTACTATTATTTTCGTTAAAATAAACGCCCCTAATATAAGTTTTGGGGAATAATTTTTCGCAGTTTTAGAACGTTCTATGTTTAAGGCATCCAGCCCTTGGTGAGTACATGTTTCTGAGTTCTATATGTACGGCCTAAAGTATCTCTGGGGTTATTATTCAAATGAAATTGCAAAAGACAGGACAATAAGATGTGAACTCAAGTAAGTATTATATCACCATCGTCTACATTTTTTCCGTGTTGGAGCAACGTATCTATGTCAAATTCTTCTTAATAATAGTTTTGACATCTTATTTCGAGGGATTACATTATCAATCAATATCATTCTCTATGTATGAAAGAAAGTATTGTGTAATGATGAGGTCAATAGCGCGCAAAATAAAATTCCTCACAAGTTACAAGTGCGTCACTTGAGATTCTTCAGAACATACCCGAGTGCGTTTGGCGCGTACTATTTTCTTTTGATTTATCTATTCTTTTACGGAAATTTAAATATGATGTAATAAATCTGCGGTGTAAAAAGGGCGTGGGACATTCTGATATTATTATAGTTCGGAGGCGTAAGCAAGTGTGTGGTGGCGTACATGTTGTGGAGGGGAGGGGGGGGGGAGGTTTAAGCAGTAATAGGGATAAAATGAGTTAGTTGAATGATATGATGTAATAAATCTGCGGTGTAAAAAGGGCGTGGGACATTCTGATATTATTATAGTTCGGAGGCGTAAGCAAGTGTGTGGTGGCGTACATGTTGTGGAGGGGAGGGGGGGGGGAGTTTTAAGCACTAATAGGGATAAAATGCGTTAGTTGAATGCATGTTTTGTCGTCAAGTAACTTGAGTAGACGGGATGTTCACGAATGTCAGGACCTTATTGTTTGGCGGACTATAACTAGTCATGTGTATCATTTGCTGGCCGAAAAAAGACCTTTGGCCGAAACTTCAAAGATTTCTTTTGCTTGCATCTTCTAATAACTTGACTTTAAATATTCTTTTATATGACTTTACCAAAGTCCGATCCATTCCCGATTACCTAAATTTTAATATTACTCATTCTAATGTCTTTACCACTGTGTCATCAAATTACCCAAAAGACCCTGAAAACCCAATGTGTTCACTTA